GAGGATAAACCGACGGGTGAAACGACGTAACGAAAGCGCAGATAATTGAGTGTACCGATTTAATTTCGTTGCGAATCCGCTTCGGTAAATATCCTGGCCCGGTATCCTGGGAGAACCGCGATCGCGATTCGAAACGAAGGAGGCGACCGGTTGGGGGCGCGCTTTAATTAAACGAGCGGAAATGATAGCCGGGTAAATATTAAATGCGACCGACCAATCGTGCGCACCGTCTCGTTAACACGGCCGCCGCGTGAATACGATTAAACTTGAATGACAAGGCCGGCTTTCGCGCCAAAAATCTCCCTCTTTCGTACCGATATTCCAATTCACGCTTGTCCGATCCGACCAATTTAAAAAACAAGAAATATCCTTATACATTCGCAGGGATGGGAATACAATTTCGAAGATCGTTGAATCCATAAATTCTTATTTTTTTCATTAATAAAATCCCCACTTTCTGTCTCGAAAATATTCCCCTTTCGAGAATAACTCTTATTATTATTATTATTCCTGAATATACTCGCAATATATCTAATACACGCGACCGAATCCTTGTGCGAGCAGAGATTCGTTCGTCAAACTCGAAAGAGACAAAATTCACGTCGATCTTTCGGGCGGTTAATCGGCACGAATCTCGAGGTAGGAGGAGGACCGCGCGAAAAAAAGACGGCCATTACACCGTCGCGTCGTCCAGCAAGGGGAATCCAGCGCGTATCGAGCAAAAGGCAGATCGTCCCGACGAGGCAGTCTTTTCCACGAGGAACGCTGTCATCGCCTGTCTCGCAATTAGTCTCGGCTGACGCGTTTTTGTCGGCCGTCTGGTTACTCCGTTTCGCGAGTATCCCCGCCTCGTCGCGCGCTTCCACGCTAGTTTTCCATTCTTTTCTTCGTCGCTTCGCGCCCCTTTTACGAAAGCCTCGAAACGAGCTTTAGGAAACGAGTCGTGAACCGTGGGCGAAATTGTGTGTGAATGTGCGTGAGTGAAAGGATCGCGCATACTCGTGTCAACGATTGTTGACAGAGAGAGAGAGAGAGAGAGAGAGAGAGAGAGAGAGAGAGAGAGAGAGAGAGAGAGAGAG